GAGGGAATTTGGCTGAAATTTGAGAGAACTTGGGGGCTTTGGCTGGAATTGGGTGGAATTTGAGGGAATTTTGGTGGAATTTGAGGGATTTTGGTGGGATTTGGCTGGATTTGGGTGTAATTCGAGGGAATTTGGGTGGAATTTGATGGAATTTGGCTGAAATTTGAGGGAATTTGGCTCTAACCCCACATTTCCCCTCCCCCCCAGCCCCGCGCCGTCGCCCCCCGGCTCCGCTGGCACCTGAAAAATTTGGAAAATCGGGAAAATTCAGCAGCAGAAAAAGCAGCAAGATGGGAACCCCTCCTGCCCGAGGAGCCAGGGTGAGAAAAATCCCCCCAGAATTCCGGGAATGCCCCAAAATCCAACGGGAATCCCAAAAAATCCCCCTTGAAATATCCCAAAAATCCTCGAATTATCCTCAAAAATACAGAAATTATTCCCAAAAATAATTAATTACTCATAAAGATCATTAGTTATTAAAGAGTTGTTAGTCATTAATCAAGATTCATTAATTATTCCTGAAGATTATTAATTATTACTAAAGGCTGATTAGTTATTCATCAAGATCGTTAATTATTCGTCAAGATTCATTAATTATTTGTAAAGGTTCATCAAGGATTTCTAAAAATTTCGTCAGGGATCCCAAAAATTCCATAAATTATCCCAGAAATCCATCAATGATCCCAAAAATTCCATTAATTATCCCAAAAATCCATAAATTATCCCAAAAATTCATAAATAATCCCAAAAATTCCATAAATTGTCCCAAAAATCCATAAATTATCCCAAAAATTCATAAATTATCCCCAAAAATTCCATTAATTATCCAAAAAATTCTATTAATTCTTCCAAAAATCCATTAATTATCCCCAAAAATCCATCAGTAATCCCAAAAATTCCATTAATTATCCCAAAAATCCATTAATTATCAAAAAAATTCCATTAATTATCCCAAAATTCCATAAACTATCCCAAAAATCCATAAGTGATCCCAAAAATTCCATTAATTATCCCAAAAATTCCATTAATTATCCCCAAAAATCCATAAATGATCCCAAAAAATCCCTAAATTATCCTAAAACTCCATAAATTATCCCCCAAAAAATCCATAAATTATCCCAAAAATTCCGTTAATTATCCTAAAAATCCATAAATTATCCCTAAAAATCCACAAATGATCCTAAAAATTCATAAATAATCCCAAAAATTCCATTAATTCTCCCAAAAATCCATAAATTATCCCAAAAATTCATAAATTATCCCAAAAATTCATTAATTATCCCAAAAATTCCATAAATTATCCCAAAAAATCCATAAATTATCCCAAAAATCCCTCAAAATTCCCAAAAAATTCACCAGGAAAGCCCAAAAATCTCCCCCAAATCCCCGAATTTTCCCCAAATTCCCGGGATTTTCCCCAAATTTTCCCTTTCCCGCAGGTTTTTGGAGGCGGATCCGGGCGAGGATCCCGCGAGGATCTCGCAGCGGGAAATCGCCGACGCCGTGGATATCGCCAGCGCCAGCAAGGTGGGGATTGGGGGGAAAAATGGGGATTTTGGGGAAAAATGGGAATTTGGGGAAAAAAATGGGAATTTTGGGGGGAAAATTGGGGATTTTGGGGGGGAAAAATGGGGATTTTGGGGAAAAAAAAGGATGTTTTAGGAGAAAAAATGGAGGTTTTAGGTGGAAAAATGGGAATTTTGGGGGGAAAAATGGGAATTTGGGGGGGAAAAATGGGAATTTTGGGGAAAAAAATGGGAATTTGGGGGGGAAAATGGGAATTTGGGGGGGAAATGGGAATTTTGGGGAAAAAATGGGGATTTTGGGGGGAAAAATGGGAATTTTGGGGAAAATTTGGGATTTTGGGGGGGAAAAATGGGGATTTTGGGGAAAAAAAAGGATGTTTTAGGAGAAAAAATGGAGGTTTTAGGTGGAAAAATGGGAATTTCCGGGGGAAAAATGGGAATTTTGGGGGGAAAAAATGGGGATTTGAGGGGAAAAATGGGGATTTTGGGGAAAAAATATGGGATTTGGGGGGAAAAAATGGGAATTTTGGGGGGGAAAA